GGGCCGAACCCATCAACTTCCCAGAAGGAGAAACGTGCAAAGATGCCATCGCTGTACCTTGGGTGCAGCCTAAACCCTAGTGCCCAGATCTCAGGGCACCGACCCCCTGACTGGATGGTAAGAACAACCGTTTGCCGGTGAGCGGGGTGCCAGCTGATCTACAAGCATTGCACCCATGCTTACGGGCACGGAAGGCACACAGTTAATCGCGCGCCAAGAAGTCAAGAAGGAAAAAGGGAGAAAGGTGGGAGGGCAGAACCAGAACGGCTAGTGCGGACTGGGAAGCAGCTAGCTGACCACTGCACAAGCTCTGGAAATCGCAACGCGACACAGGCGCAAATGCGCTCCTTCCGATTGAACACTTCAATCCGATAGATGTTTAGGTCGCGTGGCCCAAATCCCGGGCCCTGCACTTCCGGGCAAGGTGCGATTCGCAGCCGTCGGCTATTCAAACGCTCGAGAGGAAAGTCACTCGGCTGGAAGTGAATCAGCGTTGGAGCCATGCCACGGCCACTGTGATACGAGCGCCCAAGAACCACCAACTGTTTGTACCAAGACGAGGGTTAACATTGGTCATGTCGTACTTGTCAAGGAACCGCCTTCGCGCACTACAGCGTTCAAACCATGGAAATCAGTCTCGATTTGGCATGCCTGTGACTCGTCTTTTTGCCCTGCCACTACATCCGACACCTTCAAAGTCCTTATACCTGGCTGGGACTCACAGACTTCCTTCAACTGGTGAACTGGCTAAGGCACAAGCCATTGAGAGGTTGGACTCGAGCTGCGCCTGTAGTGCGTTTCCCCCACCTAGCCATCTCTCCCGTGGCCAAAACACGCGTGCGCCCGGCTCTCCATGTTCAAAACGGAGAGACCCTACAAACGGGTGTCTTTTCTGGGTAATTGCTAAAGCCGAAGTGAAGCCCCAGATGCGCTCTTCGCCTCAGGGACGACGCGAAAACGCCCAACGCGAGACCAGACCTTTGCAGGAAAACGTGCGGGCATGCTCTCCACCCAAACACTTCCCGCAGGAGACACAGATGGCTCTGAGGGCATGGACGATGCAAGGGCTGTAGCCAAAGGGGCGAACGAGCATAGCTGAGGTAACATTCAACAAATGAAAGTGAAGAAGCAAAGAACTGGAAGCGCAAACAGCCGACCGGACCATTTGCCCAACACCAGTCGCGTGAGCACAAACAAATCCCCCAGGCTTCACAGGGCCTGGGCAAGGGCGCTTGTTGGCCTCGCGGCCTCGGCAATCCACATGAGAGCGTAATGACCCAAAGTCAAAGACCATGAGCACGGACAGGCGGAAATGACGATCGAATTAAGGCAAAGGAGCAACATAACATGAAGCTGAACAGAATATGAAAACAACAGGCCGACGCAATAAGCAGTATCAGAGACCAAAAAGAAATAATCCAAAACAGCTGGCAAAACACAACACACTCTGCCAGGGCATTGCAGAACGGGCATGCCATGCATCTTTGAGATTACTGGGCTGCTGGCGCATGACGGGCCGCTCTTACAATGACAAGGGCATGCAACGCAGCCGCCAAATAACAGGTCCCAGAATATCCCTGACAAAGCGACTTCGGCAATGGTCGGTTAAAGGCCATGAAGCGATGCCATGAAACGGGTACTTTGAACAAATAGAAGAAACATCTACGCAAATCTTCATCAATGTCCAAGGATAGTGTCATGGAACTCCAGGAGGGCATTGATCCCCCGACAGATGGTTAAGCGGGATCAAATTCATGATCAAACGGTGCACCTCAACGCTCCATTTAACAAAGGCTGTCACTCCTCGATCACCTTGCAGATGCCACGCTCCACCAACTTTGTTGCCAAGGTTGGGGGAACCATCACCTTAGGTCCTTTAATAAAAACCTGGTCCTGAAGTTCTCAACGTAGTGCTTGCAACCAGCATGACAGACTTGGGAGAGGGTGACTGTCCCTACTTCCAAGGGCAACGCTTGTCCAACCATATGTCAGGAAATGAACCGGGCAACCTTTAACTCCTTTGCCAAGTTCTCCGTCGCGTTCTTTCCAGCGATGCCTGCTCTAGGAGACCCCCCAAAAGCCGCTGTTGGCAGCTCCCCTCACCTTCTTTTGCCGGAGACTGGGGAACCATTGAGGTGGTTGAGCGACCATACCATGTTTCTGAGAATCATGATGTCTGACTCACATGCTGAAGGGAACAGATTCTTCAGGGAGGAAAGGGCTGTAGGCAGTGGAAACACCGTGCCCGTGGACTTGGTCATGCAGCCAGCCGCCAACGATAACGATGTGAGCCTCAAGCAGATCATTTCAAGGGCTTCCATGGATGACAGCTCCAAAAATGGAGCTGTGTCCACTCGAGGTGGCGCAGGTGGCCACGAGGGCCGAGACCGCCATCGGGGTGTTTGGAAAGAGCAAGGGATAGGACGAGAGAACAAAGGCAAAGGGAAGAAAGGGAAAGACGAGAAAGGCGGAGAGAAGAAGTAAGGAGCAGAGAAAAGGTTAGTGGGGAGTTGTTTGGCACAGATGAGGCTATGCCTCCCAAGGAGGGGAGGCAAATGAGTGAGGTGATGAATTGGAAGGGAGCCAGATGATTGCAACCTCTTCTGATGAGACACCCTTGGAAGAAAGCAGGATGAGCCGTGAGGCAGCGACAGCCGGTGCGAGTAGGCTGCAAGAGGCCGAAGATGACAGACCAAAGCGAGGTGGACAAGAAGCCAGCAGGTGAGGAGAGAGGACAGAGGATAAGGGGCTTCTGCGGGCCTCCCCTGGGCCACCCTTGACATCGCCCCATGGAGCTTGTGCTGGAGCGCCGACCTGTAGTAGTGGACAGCGATGGCCCCAACTCCTTGCTGCGCCCCCTAACTTGTCCCGAGGCCGCCACCAGAATCGCCGTAGCAGCCAGGACTCCGGGTCCTCTCACGCCTACTTTGCGGCTCCTTTGCGCTTCCTCGAAGACGCCCTCCTCGGAGGACTTGTGCTGCGCTTTCTTCATCACGGCCTTCCTCACCTTCGGATCGGGATCCATCCTGGTCTTTGCGAAGAGCACGGCTGGGTCTTTCGTCCCTTCCACCTTGAACTTCTTCTTTCCCCTTTTTCTTCTCTTCTTCTTTTCTTCCGGCTTTCCGAACTGCTCGCCACCGTTGAAGGACTGCGGGCCCTCTTCTTGTCTTTGCCCTCTTTACCTGGTTTCTCCAACCCCTCTGCCTCTTTGTTCAGCTCCTCCTCCCTTGCACGTAAAACCGCCATCTCGTCCACCTTCTCGATGCGAATCAGGTTGTCCAGCCAAGTTTCTTCGGCTCCTGGCACCCGCAACTTCATCTTCACGACGCGCACCAACCCGTCTTCGCTCAGACGGACTTCGGCTACCACCCCGAACACGTCCTCTTCGACCTTTTGCACCGTACGTGACCACTACACTCTGACCCAGCTTCAGCAAGTGCCTAGGCAGGGATGACACACCCAGGATCTCCTCTCTCAAACCTCTCTGCAACTTCGCCTTCTTCCGCTGATGCTGGTCTCCTCAACACCGGAGGAACCTCTCCTCCCCTTGCCACAGCTCTGCTCGGCCTTTGCACGGGCCTTCGCTTTGGCTGCTGCTTTTGCTGCAGCAGCTCTTTGGGAGGCATCAAAAGTGCCGGCCTCCCTTGTACTTTCCACCACCTTTACATAGATGACCTTGACCGCTTTCTCCTCTTCTCCTTCTCTTTCCTCTCTTCCTTCTTTCTCCTCTTCTTCCCCTTATCCTTTCCCTTCTTTTCCACCTCCTCTTTCTTGCCAGCCTCCTCTGTCTCTACCACCTCGGGGGGGACTGCCAAATCCCCAGCACCTCCCTTATATACCAGGACCTTCAGCTCCCACAGGAGTGGCCCCGGCGGCGGGGCCAACTCCCCCCCCTTCCCTGAATAAGGCTTTGGAGGAGCAGTTGGGGTTAACCCAGTGCTCCCTATCCCGGAGATCCAGCAGCTCCCCTTGAAGGAGTTGGACTTTCTCTAAGGCCCGGCTCCGAAAGAAAATGGAGCCGGACCTTAGGCACAAAACCTTAACCCTCGCGAGGGTAATGCACAAGTCACAGGGGCACACGCCTTCGGAGGCGTGGCCCACTATGCTCATGAAGCCGAAATCTCGCGGACATGCAAGCCGAATTCATCTTTAAAGACCGGGACGTTACATCATGTATGTATGTATGTATGTATGTATGTATGTATGTATGTATGTATGTATGTATGTATGTATGTATCCAACACGTATGTATATATATATAATACATATATGTATACACAGATGTGACTATTAGAGCAACCGACGACAATTAGGGATATCGTCCAGTGCTATGGCTCTGAGTTGGTGTTTGACACGACCCGGATAAACTATATGTGGGAACCATAAAAAACCAACCGGGTCTTTTGCAGATGCACACCCCGCCCCTTCGTGAGTTGGGCGTATGCGTCATAGGTTGACTAAGCATCCTTGCAAACACTAACAAACCCTCATGGCTATTTGACCACCAGTGAGTGTGGCGTATCAAAGTAGGCCAAAGTATCCCTCAGGCTCATCTTCAAAATGATGCAAATTATATATGTACACATATGTAATTGTCGCATTTGAAATGTGGGACCAAAACCCTGGCCCTTCTTGACTAAATCTAATGCTTGTGCGGATGCCAACAGGCAACCGAGTAGAAAGCCTGGGAGTTCCTCGCTTCTTGCGTCGAGCCAAGAAAAGCTCAGGATGCAGCTCGCCAAACTGATCAGAGGCCGAAAGGTGATGATTTACCTACGGAAGCCAAGGTGGAAAAGCAGATTGCCGAAAAGGTCTGAAATCGGAGTGGTTTGCCTTCGGCAAAGTTTGCCCTTTTGCCACTCCCCTCAAGGGCACATATAAATGGCCTGTTCTTGGCCAAAGGATAGCTTCTCCATGTAGGATACCCCGCTTCAAAAATATCACAAAAAGAAGATAGCTGAGTAGACAGGTGTTTCAACGTCTTGCGAAACCCCGAGCACCTCCTTCCGTTGGGCCCGGGTGTAGTGGATCGTGCGCACCAGGCAACTCCGCCATGCGGATTTTTCCCATATCTCCCCGCGGAGACCTAGTCAAGGCGGAGGCATTTGCTTTTACTTGGGGGGGGGGGGGGTAATACAAGGGCGGAACAATAGAATGAGGTTGCGGGGTAAACACGCTTGAAGCAAATTGTCCGTCATGTGGGACACCAAGCAAAGGAAACCAACCAAGCATAACACGTATGGGTTGCTTTGATCAACCAGTTTGTTTTTGTCTTTGGGGGTTGTGTGAAAAAATGGGACACGCCCTGCGCTGGATTTCGATTAGGCTTGCCCTTCAAAGGCCAAAGCATGACAACAAAAACACACGCATGAAGAAAGATAAGCAGCCGAGCTGTGGAAATCATAAGTTCTATCCTCAAACAAGCTAACCAAAACGAAGACAACTGTCAGACATTTACCCTGAAGAAACACAATGTAAGCAGATCTGTTCATTAAACCTCGCCAAAAACGGGTGGAGCTTTGGAAGGCTACTTTCCTCTTGGAAACGGAAATTCCTAGATGGATCCTCGGATCAGGGCCAGCATAGGGTCAAACATTTCAGAAGCCCTTGGTCAACGTGTGACAGACCTGGATAACTCACTGAACGTCCCACAGATTCCAGCATACCCGCTAATTCTCTCACATAAGTCCTGCAGCTGGCGTGGCACGTGCCACTGGGTTGCTGTCAGCAAACTGTGCCCTAGTGCAGCTCGGTATTTGCGCTCACCCTCCTGGCTAACATGAAAGCTCCAAGGTCACTGTAAATGGAACCGAGTTTTCCAAAAGGAGGGTCCTGGGAGCCTCCGTGTCAGCAGGTAAGGAATCGCAGCCGGAGTAACTCACAACTTGAGTACATATTAGAACCAACTTAACCTGCCTGGACCAACACCGGTCATGCTGGCTGTATCCTCTAAACAACTTGGTTAAACAAGAATCTTGGATGCCCATTCAGCCTTCCCTCACGTCTTTGACCAATGTGTGCAGCACAAATGCTTGATGTTAGCCGTGTTCTTCAGAACTACATACGTAGACATCGTGCAAATCATGATGGTGAATGCGGTGAATATGAAAACATGCCGCTATACTGCAATGATATGCTGCTAGAACAAAAGGAGCGTCCAAGTTCAAAAACACATCAACCGTCGTCAACGACATCGGAGCAGGCACTCTCAGCTTCAGGACACCTTTCGTGCTCCTTTGGTGCTTTGCTTGGACCAGGCTTACAAGTATGCGATCCTGCGTTTGACATGTCAGCCTTAGCCTTCTGTCTCTGTGTAATTCCCCTTGAATAAGAGGAAATGTGTCTATGCCTCCGGAACAGTGAATTCCAAATGATGCCTGCGTCAGCGACCGCTGATCGCTTTTATACTGGCAATCTGAGATGTTCCTGATAGGAACACTTGACCATGGGTGAGGCCGGACCAAAACATTTTGTGAGTTCGCTATCAATTTGCCCAGGTCGTTTGCAACGCCGGTTTTCCATGGATGTCCGCACTTCCACTTGGGCTTGTCTGACGTGGGAACCCCCGCCAAGTTGCCTCAGCGGTTGACCCCGAACAAAAAACACATATGTTTGATCCTGGTCCATATTCAGTGAATCTTACAAATTGAATAAAAAGTGTTGTAAAAGAGATCCCACAGGTTTAAAGTCAAAGGGAACCTACCGAACAAACTTGGGTATGTGCCAAGGTAAGGGGGACACCCGAGGGTGGTTGCTTTCCGTCAAAGGGAAACCCACCGAGACAAACAACAGCAACAAAGAACAAACAGCACGAAGACAAGGCAATGCCCAAGTGGAGGTCCACTTCATGCCCCGCCTCTGGAAGACCCGCCGGCCCAGTCCTCGCGCAAAATCCGGAGGCGGTCGTCGAAGCGGTGGAAGTCAACGTCCTCCTCCTCCTCCTTGGGTTCAAGGGGCATGCTGCATGTATCCCGTTTCAAGATGATTCAAGGTCTGTTCGCAGGATGAAGACGCAGGATGAAGTACATTGTTTACATGATCAAGATATTGTTACAACCGGGGTCTCTTGCTTTTGCGCGGAGGGTCCAGCGAACATATTATGGCAGAGCCAACTCGTATACACTTGTTGCTGGAATTCAACGTTGATAAGTCTTGGTGATCCTGCTGATCATGGGCTGGCCTTAAAAAAGCCAGCGAAAGCAGCAAAGCTACATGATTGTGTGTTTCCAGTTAGTTAGCATTTTCAGCAGGTTCCTGGAGAACTTGCCCGGCAGTTGCCAAACTCAAACAAGGCTGGCCCCAATTGAACATAAGGCAAGCGAAACAAATTGACTACTTCCCTCTCACCAGTTCTTGCAATTGTGGTCCGGAGAAGCTTGCAGCTTTGTTGTGTTCTTCCTCCTTCTATCTTCTCTAATGACTTGCTTCGCGCTTCAAGCTCATGTCCGCCTGCCGTGAACGTCCCTGCACCAATTTGGACATGAGGAAAGCCGTGACGCATGAAACGACCGATGGATTCACCAATATCGGCGACGCAGTCGAAATACACAAAGAAGGGCTACCCGCGCTCTTTGATTGATTCATTAAACAGGTGTCTTCCTCAAAGGCAGCAGCCTGTTGCAACTACAACCTCTTTATGGCAACTAGCGCCCAGTTGGGGTACGGTGACAAACTCACAGACAAACCCACAGACAGACAGACAGACAGGCAGGCAGGAAGGCAGGCAGACAGACAGACAGACAGACAGGAAGAAAGATAAACAGAAAGAGAAAGAGAAAATAACACAGACATAGATACAAAGAGGAAGAGAGACAAAGACACAAAAAGGGCGGAGAGGCAAAGACCCATGGCAGTCATTCTTGGCAAGAAAAAGCAGCTTTCGCAAATCATTGGTGGCGTTATTTTTTTGGCAGCGCTGCTGCAGTTGCACTCGCAAACCCCAAAACCACGCCGTTCACTTGCACTGGCAGGCTTGAAGAAACCTCAAAAAAAAGCAATCAATCATTATCATTCGCTCTTTCCACTTGTACTTGTCGTAGCTGCCCGTCCTGGGCCCAACGCGCTGGACCTTGCAACAAGCAACAGGGGAATTGCCCTTCCTTCGCGGATATTTCGCAAAACTTGGCCCAAAATAGCATACGGCATACCCAACGTTTTGCTTTGCAGTACAGGCAGGGAATCAAGGACGCAAGTAAACGTGCTGCGCATCTCCCTGTCTACAAGGGAGTGGGGTCTGCAAATACGCGCGCAAGCATGCCTCCGAGAAGCGGTTTGCTAAAGATTTCTTGCCACAAATCTCTTTTGCAGACACCTTCGGGGATCTTTTGCGGGCACAAATGCCCGCAGTGCTATGGTCCTCCACAGCAAAAAACCTACAAGGAGCTTTTGACCAAGCAGACAGGCAGACAGACGACAACCAGCCAGACACACAGAGACAAAGACAGTGCTAGTGACAGAGCCAGAGAATTGACACGGGACACACACAGACACAGATGCAGACAGACACAGACAAACACACACACACACACAGACACACGCAGGCAGCCGCACAAACACGGACACATACACAGACAGACACAGACACAGACACAGACACAGACACAGACACAGACACAGACACAGACACCGAGACAGAGACAGAGACACAGACAGAGACAGAGACAAAGACAATCACAAACACACAAACACACAAACACACAAACACACAAACACACAAACACACAAACACACAAACACACAAACACAAAAACACAAACACACAAACACACAAACACACACACACACACACACAACACAACACAACACAACACAACACAACACAACACAACACAACACAACACAACACAACACAACACAACACAACACAACACAACACAACACAACACAACACAACACAACACAACACAACACAACACAACACAACACAACACAACACAACACAACACAACACAACACAACACAACACAACACAACACAACACAACACAACACAACACAACACAACGCACGCACGCACGCACGCACAAACAGACAACACGCAGACACACGCAGACACACACACACACACACACAGAGGCACAGACACACACACAGACACACACACAGACACAGACACAGACACAAACACAGAGACACACACACACACACACACACACACACGCACGCACACACACACACACACACAGAGGCACAGACACAGACACACACACACACACACAGACACAGACACGGACACAGATACAGACACACACACAATGTTTGCCTACGACTAATACATACCCTGACTAAAGCTAAGCAAACCCCTAAACTAAATACCCCTTATTCATTAATAATCTTTCCCTAAATATGGCTTTGACCATGCCCAAGCCTTTTTTGGGCTCAGTCCAAATGCCAAAAACAAACACAATTTCAAGGTGTCCATGTTCATGACGATCTTGTTACTTAAACGTGTAAAACACAGCCAAGGGCCCCCCCACAAGATCATTTCCACAAAACAAAACTATACCCTGAATAAAGCTAAGTGTGCGTTGCCTCTCCAAATTCCCTACCCCGTGTCAATTCCAAGCTTTGGTGCCATTGCCAGCTTCCATTGGAGTCCAGTTGCATGATAAGTTCTTTGTGCGATGCTTTTATGCCAAACCAACCAGGCAAGGGCACCCACAAAGTCATTTGCATACCCTAAATAAAGCAACACCTAATGATCCGGGTCACTTCCTGGAAATAGATCCAAATACAGAAGCAATTCGCAAGCAGTATTGCCCTGTTCAAAGTGGGACTACTACCACAAAGCATTGTCCCCAAATAAAGCCATAGAATTGGCCCTTTTGAAGACTTTTGCAAAGCACTGCCAAGCTTCCTGGAATTTGACCCGCATACAAACAGTTCCAAGTAGCATTGCCCAATTTCCGGCAATACAAAACCAATTTAAAAGCAGCATTGCCAGACCCCCAGAAACCTGACCTTTGTACAAGGCAATTCAAAAGTAGAACTGCTAGACTTCCTGGACTCCAACTCCAAAACACCAAAGACACACAGAGACGCAAAGGCAAACACATATGCCCGCGCACATGCATACGCCTACGGACGCAGGCAGGCACGCAGGCACGCAGGAAGGCAGGCACACATGCGCAAACCCGTGAGGTCCGCACTCCCCAGACCCCAGGTCCTCCGAATTGGCGAGAATTGCCTTCACCTGACACGCATTCAAAGACCCCAAAAAGCCAAACGCCGTTGCTCCGTTTTCTGGTGCCCATGGGTTCCTACGGTTTCAACACATGGGTAGGATGCTACTTCATCCTTCAGTGCAGCCTGACCACCATTAAAACCTATTAAACGCGTCCTCTGAGCCTCTGATTGTTCTGAAACTTTATGTATCTCATCTCTAGGGGCCAATTCCCAAACGACAAATCGGAAGCTCCGTCAGGCAAATCCTCGCCTTGCGGCTTGCGCTATGTTCGTTGGGAATCCTTTGCATGCTTGCCCAAATCTTCTAAGGGTTCCATGGCCATCCCTAGCAACTTAAGTAAAAGGCAAAAAAAAAGCTCTGTGGCTAGCCTGGCTACAAGCATCCGGAGGATCCCTCGTCTCAAGTCCTGAAAGGAGCACGCCCATTCCATCACAGATCCTTGCGTGTCCGGAAGCCGAAAAAGGATTTGCTTTTGCAGTTCGAGACCTGACTCAGAGCCCCAAACAGGAAGAAGCAGCAAGACAACACCGAATCCATGAGACTCTAGTTGTAGGGGTCTTGTCCCCACCTTATCCTTCTGAATACAAATGCATCCATGAAAGAGCGCTTTTAGAAATGATTCAGAATCGCCTTCTTTCGACCTGCCGAATGGCTGAACCCTGTACCGTGGGGTCGCCAAGAAGTTTCCCGTGGATACGCCGAAAGAAACTCCCGCAGGATTGAACCCAAGACATTGCTTGGCATTCAACGGAGATTGAGATGACACGAACACACCGAAACCCCATGGAATTCGCTGGGCCCAATCCATTTCGGCGCCTCCGCAGCTTGTCGCAAGTCAGCGCCATGCGCGAAGGGGCAATAGTAGGCCTTGCAGCCCTTGCAGAGCGACACCTGAAACGAAAGTCAGACTCGCATGGGGTGCATGGAGGGTGTGTCTGTTTTGTGGAGGCAAAATTAGTGTGTCCCAAAAACCCCCAAACGAAACATAGACTGGACATTGTGACCAACCTGGACATGGTCGCATGCCTGTGAACTCAGGCCATTGAGTTCGACCCCATCCAGTGGTGTCGAGGACAAACAAACAAACACACACCTTTCTTTGCAGGTCCATTTGATGATTTCACAGGACCATGCCAAACTGAACATGTCAGCGCAGTGTCCAGGGCGGAAAGTCACCCTTCTCAGAGGGGCTAGGCAAACTTAATCAAGCAAGCAGGCCCTCACCACCTTGGAGCAACAACAGGGAGGGCATTTTTAACATCGGTGTTTATACGTCTTAGGGGGAGATGGCCCCACTCTGGTCCGTCCGATCTGACATCCACTTGCCTTGTAGTTCAACGGGTGATATAGCACTTCCTGGTGCCGAAGGGATCGGGTTGAAGGCGGGTCATACCAACTTGCTTCAAGGGGGGAGGATTCAACTTGCCCAGTGGCTATGCGGACAAGAAGGGAAGGAAAAGTGGGGATGGCAACTGGGTCAAACTAATCCTCTTCGAACATGTGCAGCTACAGCTAAAGTAAATTATATTGTGCAAGTGATAATCTTGCGGCGTGCGTCAGCGATACTGCCTCACATTTTGCCACAGCATCCCATCACCTTTGCCCCGTGGCACACATCCCAACCTTAGGCCACAGACTTTCACACCCAACTCAGTCAAAAGAATGGACCAGGTTCTTTTATCATGCAACTGCCTGACGCAACAGGCCTACTCGAGCCCCTTGTGGCCTTGGTTTATGGCCGTGTCTTGCTTGCGGCACTGAAATAAGTTGAAATAAATGCTCTAGAAAAAAATATAGCGAATATCCTGCCCTCGTTGCTTCCCCGGCAAAAAACAACAAACAAGACGGGCAATTTGTACAGGTAGCCAAAGAAACATAACGCGCCACAGAAACAAAGTATACCTAGAATCTGGTGATATCTGGTTACAGGAAGCAAACCCATAATATAAAGCCAGTCATGCCCACTATTCATCTAAAACCAACTGAACTCGAAGCGCAGTCCTCTTGGGTGTGCGCAAAGGGGCATTGGCGATCCTCGCAGCCCACCGCGCAACACATCTGTGGCTTGTAGTTCACCTGCGAAGCGGTCCCCCCCGCCGGTGAGCAACGGCAGTCAAACGGCTTCATCTATGTTGGTGGTTCATGTTCATGTCATAAACCTGCCAGCCCCTTTGGGTGCGACTCGGGCCTCTCTCTTGCAAAATAGGGAAAGAAACAAACCGACCTGGAACTGTCTACAATCGGAGCCCGTTCCTTTTGACAGAAACGGGTCCCGCGAGCGCCAAGGGCTTTGCGGCCGGACCACAAATCCAAAACCACCAAGGGCTACCTGCCATGGTTTTACCCAGACCCGGGGTTCAAATCTCCAAAGCCAACCCGAAACACTGATTGGGAGTAACCTAGGCCCCAAGAAACAAACACAAACAACATTCAGCTTCCCCTTAGTTGGTGGTTTGCATTGGCGGTGGTTCAGGAGAGGTTGCCCATCTACCCTCTACAAACACCAAGGGTTCCAATCCCCAAACTAATCCAAACCACCAATTTGGGAGTACCTGACACGAGAGGTTCGGGCGACGGAAAGAAAAAACACATCAGCCGACGCCGAAACCGCCTTCAAAGGGCTCCGGCGCACCCAGCTCTGGTGCGAATACTGGCACTTCTCCTGGCGAAATGAGGATCGTAGCTGTGTTTTTGAAGGCTCGGTGCCCGACAGATACGTTTAAGGCACACCAAAAAAGGAAAAGCCACCAAGTGAGCCCTCCCTGTTCTGGAACACCCATATTCCCTTTGCCTTGCCAGGACCGCAGTTGGAATGAGACCAACTCATGGAAAGAAGAGCAGACATGATTGCTTGCATGTCACCATGGGACCCTTGAGCACGATAGGTGCGAGGACAACCAGAGAAAACCGGCCATGCTCCAAGGTCAGTATTGGAAGAAACGCACACATATCTGCGTTAGAACTCTGGACAAGCCAACACGAAGCCAGCCATTCAGAGGTTTCACTGCAGTTGGCGCGGGAGTGTCTCACATCAAAGAGAACTAGACGTGGTGCCGAGGCGCACTGAGTCGGGCAAACAACGGCCGAAAACAAGGGACTTGTGCCAAATCCATCTTTTATGTTGTTGTCGGTTTGAGTATGCAAAATATCCTGCAAGTAGCTGCTTAGACAACAATTCTGGCCACGCTGCACCTCGAGCAGCCGTGTTTCCAAGTGCAAGCGAGCTGCCCCTCCCACTTGCAACCTGTCCCTCTCATCCTGGCACAAATAAGGATTTCTGTTGGACAACTCAGCAATTGCCTTGAAAATGGCATCCTGTCCTGAAAATGGCATCTGCCCTGGGCCAACAGCCGCTCGCAGGGCTTGGTGCGAAAACGGGCCAAGGCCTGCATGCCAGGCACCAAGTCTTGCGACTCAGCGCGAAAACACAGCTTGGACGGACCAACGGAAAAACCACCTCATTAAAATTAATTTGAAAAATACAATCCATTAAACCTATCAGCTAATGGCTGTTCAGTTCCTCTGAAACACGCCCTTTACCAGGCCTGTTTACTCTCTGGCTCGCTATCATTCTCTCTCGGCAGGATCAACACTTCTCCGTACTAGAACAAGCAGATAGTCAACCTAGATTCTGGCAAGTCCTCTCTTGGTCTGCGTTGGACACTCACGCTGAGCCTCCCGTCAGGTCCAATGCAGGTGAGAAGTGACTGATGTTCATCACAGATCGCACAGTTCGCAATCCGAAATGTCGATCCCGCGGGGGGGGTGGACCGGAATGGCGCCAGCAAAGCCAAAGTCTTCAGTAGGCGCAATCAAGAACACATCGTGGAATTTCAAAGGAACACGTGCCGACCAGCTCCGTGCTCCATTAAAAAGTGGCTGATGTGTTCACCGCTTGTCGTCATGTACACATTGCGCGGACACGCACACTGCATACAATATGGAAGCTACACGTCAGAAATGCGTAGTCGCGCTACACGGTCTCTTCCCAGACTCGACACTGCGAAACAACACGCTGGTTGCAATTGGACCCGCATTGATGGTACGTGCTTTGTTCAATCCTTCTTGCAGCCTTTTACAGTAGCTTTGCGCTGACCTCAACATCAAGAATGGCACCAATCACATTGCTCTTCTTGTCGGCGTTGACTGCTTCAGACATGTGGAATGAGCCATGCAAACATTCGCTCGCCCAACAATGCGAAACCATCACACCAGGGCCAGGGAGAAAAAAGAAAAAACTAGCTGCCACAACAGACGCACTGGTCCCTGAGACCTTCTGGAATGGGTTTCTCAGAGAACCATAGTGGGCACTAGGGGAATCCCGGCCAAGGGCGACGGTGCCGTGAGTGCCTTCTCAGAAAGGACCGGGCCGCAGGCCATAGAGACCTGTGGGTGTGTGTCAAGAACAGGGGATCCCACAAAACGGTGGCTTTCCCGTTTGAAGGGGCACCCAAAGAACAAAAACACGCACATCTCCAGTTGTCGTGGCGGGTGCTGTGGCTGTGTTCGTGGTTGCCTGTAGCGGTCGACTTGCGGGCAAGCTTGTTGTGCGTTTGTTTGCTTGCTTGCTTGTTTGCTTGCTGGCTTGTTTGCTTGTCTACCTGCCTCCTCTCCTTCTGACTTGCTTGTTTGCCTACTTATTTGTTTGTTCAATTCTTTGTTTGCATTTTCTTTGCGCTTGTTTCAATTGTGCTTGTGCCAGCGGCTTGGCAGCGCATACTTTCCCTGTGACATTCTACCTAGAGGGTGGCGTCCCAATGATGAGAAAACACGCTGGCCTGTGAAAAGTGCAGGAGCCCGTTCATGCACAGGCACAACTCGTGCAAGTACGGTCTTTTCCCAGGGTCGCGGTAATGCGGATGCCTGAACTGTGCAGGGAAAAAGGGAAACCCTGCCATTTCCCCACGGCTCGCGGTTGAATTATGTGTGCTTGCAACATGTTGCAACTTAGGGCATCCACCGTGAGGAAGTGCCGTATGGAGATGGAACAACCCTCAAAGGGATATTGCCTTGTTTGTTTCTGTGCTTGGTTGGCGGCTTGGTGTGATGCTCTCGTCCTTGGTTTCGTTATTGTTTGCTTGAATGAACGGTTGATCGATTCTTCATTGGTTGGTTGGTTGCTTGCCTGGTTGGTCGGTCGGTCGGTCGGTTGGTTGTCTGCTTGTGACGCTGATTGGTTGGTTGGTTGGTTGATTGATTGATTGATTGATCGATTGATTGATTGATTGATTGATTGATTGATTGATTGATCGATCACTTGCTTGCTTGCTTGATTGATTGATTGGTTGGCCAGCTCCTGCCTGCCTGGTTGTGCGTACTTCTGCCAGCGCTGGAGGTCCCTCGCAGGTATTGGGATGTGGGTTGCTATGAGCTTTGGTTTCAGCTCCCTATGCACCCAGCACCACACGAAACGATGATCGCATTGCAAGCAACTCAACTCAAGGCTTATCCATGCGAAGCTTTGATATTTCTTGCATTTGAAGGTTGTCTTAATTAGAAGTACCACCTGAGAGGTCAAAGAACCTCACCCGGAAAGCACTCATTGCAAGCTGCAACCTGTACCCGTAGGGCGTACATGGAAGGCTCATAACTTGGAAGCGATTTGGGCCATCTTCAGTCGCCGTCATTTGTCAGACAAAATCAGTGTGTGTGTGTGTGACAAAGTAGGGATTTGCACTCCAACATTGGTTCCCTGTTTGGTTTCCCACCACATACTTACCCAAAAAGGGTACTGAGCCTAAGAACGAACACCAAATTGGAACAGAGTCACTTGTTTGTGTCAGAAAATGATCTGATCGTCCCGGCTGAACTGGCTCGATCCGGAACGGGTTTGGGACATGAAGGGCAAATCGCTTCTATCCACTGAGTGGAAATAAGAAATGGCCAAGCAAGCAACTGGTGAGCTCTTGCCCAAGTGATCTCATTGAAATGTGCCCATGACCGCAAGGGACGCCTATTGCCGGCTCACATGGATAAATCTTGCAACCAGGCTGCAACGAACTTGGCAAAGTGTGGCGTTCTGCCCCGGATAGGGCAGCTAGGACGATGAATTCAACGAGATAAAACAGCTGCGACCGCGCGAGTCTGGACATCAGCAACAGAAAAGTGAGCAAGGTATCCTCACTCCCGAATGTGTTCCAACAAATTCATTCTAACGATGACCCTGAGGATTTGGGAATCCAAAACAGGAGGGCTCCTAGCTAAACTAGACCAGTCAGCGTAGGAAGCATGGTGAGATCCGGTGGATCCGAACCGTCATTGACCTTGCAAATCCACAGGTCCTGGAAAAGACTCATGCACTCAGCTTTCAGTCACCCGCTCCAAGTACTCTCCTGAACGAGGTGATCTGAAACTAGCAGAATGGTCCTGGTCATAATCTGACCCGAACCAAAAACAATTCGATAGTGTCTCCGTTCCTGATTGTATTTATGTCTTTATTTCTTTTCGCAAATAATAGCCTCAGCCAACAAAACCCACTCTCACTTCCATGCCCCGAACCAAGGAGCCCACAGTGAGACGATGGCCAGCGGCCGGTGCAAAGTCTGAGTACCCCATTTATGGCGTCCTTGACGTTTCGAGTCAGCAGAAACCACACTGGACCTACCGCAGAAACAAGTTCTCAGCAGCTTTTCGGAGTCACCAACCCACAAAGCATGGACAAACATCACGCAGGGCCTTTGTAGTTTCATTGCACAACTAGTGGCTGCCTTTTGTGCAGAGTCTAGAGATACTTTGCACACGTGTGCAATGCAACATGGTAAGAGCTATAAGGAAGATACTGAGGCGGACAGCAGTGCGTCCCAAAACGCTGAATAAGGGCAAACAAACAGCGGCGCTCTGTTGCAAAGAGCAGAGCCGAACATTTCCTTCCCACAACGTAGCTTGTGCTTTGGAGGCTGGGGAGGTACCTGGTAACGTAAGCACAATAAATCAGAAATACAAGGAAATGGGTGAGACAAACCAATGCTAAGAGGGGAGTGCACAGAACTTCACGAGCACATCCTGTCGTGACATCTCCCTTTGCTGAGGCTTGTCTGCGAGGGCCAACCTGTCACAGAGGGGGCCACAAGTCCACCCCAGAACTGGGGACTCCAAACGAGGGCTGCTTCCTAGCATTGGCGTGCTGCAGCATTTGTGTGAATTTTCCAGGAACTGCACGAGTGTACCCACTGTCTGCGCCATGTAGCACACTTGAGGAATGAGCTTGTCTCAGCACAACCGCTCCAAATCGCAGCTTTCATCTTCATCAACCGCTGGTCGCCATTTAGTTTGCTTTTGTTCCACACTTCAGCAAGTTGTCTGGGTCTTCCAGCCT